TAGCTAACTAGTCAATGGTTTGCCCTAGGAGTGACGGCGTCGTTTGTCACAATATCAACAAGTAACTATGCAATCAGAACGCGAGAAATCACAGGGAGAGATACACAGCATAGCTGACCAACAAAATCGCCGCTGGTCTCGTCACGGCGCCCGCTTGCATTCTCCGGGGAGAGCAACAGAGGCATCAGTGCGCCTAGCTGTGCATATTCTGAGACTGATTAGGTATCCGGCACTGTCTATCTGCCGGGTTGTGTGGACAGATCAACTTTTTGCGGGATTTCAAGGGAGTGGCAGAGGGATGCATGTCATTGAGATAAACCTCGTGTACTGCTGCAGCCGCTCAGACAGGATAGAAACCAAGGGAATAGCTAAATTCCCACGAATAGGGTCCAGTGAAAGTCAAACAAAGTTTCCCAGGAAATTCGACTGGCTGAGAATCCATGGGAGATGCCGGAGTGGAGGAGGTACCAGCGGGAAGAATACTTAGTTATGTTTGGCCAGAGCTGTCCCTTTCACCCTGGCCTCGCTCTGCCCTACTTTCACATTCAATAGTCAATCAGTGTCCAGACTAGTCAACACGGAACAGCGTTCCCCGCTGAATCATCGAGGATGGACAGCAGCAGAGAAGCAAAGAGGTAACTAGGGGCGCGGAGTATATGGTGGTCATTTAACAATATATCTCCGTCTGCTGACGAACGGGTTGCCATCCCGCCAGCCACCCTCCCTTGACAAACGGATCGAGGGAGAGAGAGGGGGGGCAAACAAGGGGCGGGGACGACGGGAAGTGCCCTTACCTGCAGTGCTAGCGCTTGCCCACACCTGTGGTTCCTGCGCATGTAAGGTGCTCTCGTATATACGAACTCAAGGCTCCCGATTCATGATTGAATAATTTGCCAGTACGTGGAATCACCAATACATCCTGATGCAGGTGGCTAAGCAGAGGGCTTCTCGACGCTTGAATCCGTCTGAACCAGAAGACTGGGCGGCAAGCCAAGGAGAGTAAAATGATGATTTCGCAGTTGGGAAACACGGCTGTGAACGATGCAAGACCAAGTCATAGGTGCAGATCCTGCCCCCCCCCGGGGGGGGGGGGGGGGGGAGGGCTTGACTTATTTCCCCCCTCCAGGAAGCACAGCGGTGCGCAGGCGAGCTTCCATTTGAAAGAAGACATTCGTATTGTTGTGTGGTTAACTTGGCATGATCGCAACTGTATATAACGGCAAGATGGGATGTAGTTACGTGTACTTGTTCCATGAGTCTGGGGTTCCAGGAAGGGCTAAGGCCAATGGATATGCGTTACCGAGTACTCCAAACAGTATCTCCTTGGGTAATGACCCATCTAGACGCACACCCCGAGTCCAAGGATGAAAGAGAAGCGCTTCCAGGGCTCAGAGTCGGGATCGTCGTTATTCTGATCCATGAACGTTGGCTGCATATCCAGCAGCGCCTCTTATGTCAGAAATCATGGCCACGGTCAACAACTGCAACCACGACCACGGCCATGGCCCTGGCCATCAACTACCACAAGCTTATATAGACCTATGGCATGACGTCAGTAGATTCATTAACGTCATTAACCGGGAAGCTCATGTATGAATAGGCTTACAGATCACCTTCGACTGCTGGACGTACCGCATATATACGAGATGTATAAAACATGTAGTTGCGTGGTCGTGGTGAAAGATGTTGGTGATATCTTGCAGCATCGAGGCTACAAAGCAACCGCGGAAAAGTAGGAAACCTGGAGATCCGTGGAACTAGGCGGACAAGGTAGCTACGAAATATATAAGTAATAGTAGCCGGAATCTACCTCATCCGTGTATATATCGCGGCGCTCGCTGGTTCTTAACTCCCTTCCCCCGTTCCCGACGCTTCGAAGGATGGAGTTGGGCTTTAGGGACAAGCGGCAGCATGTGCATAGTCGACGCAAGCCCATACGCGTGCGATATAGGCTAGGAAGGTCTAAACGATGGTCATTTGTTCGAGCAACTGAAATAGCCGGGCTATTATTCAGTGCAAGCCAATTCAGTCCAGGTGCCTTGTACCCTCTTGTCCGCAGCTGGGCAGTTGTCCTATATGGATCACTCCAACGAGCGAAATATAATAGCCAAAAGCACAACAGAGGCACAAAAAACCAAATTGAGTGTTAATATATGACTGCAAATAACCTCCGCCTTCTTAACATCTCTGTTAAGGAGCTGCTAATACCCGGCCGAGTAATAAACTTCGCTTGCATGGGTAGGTTATCGCTTTGTAGCGCACAGCCGACCAAGAATAAGAACTCATAAAATGCTATCATTAATTAAACTCCTACTAATTAATATATGTC